CAAATGCTCACACACGCACACACACACACACACACACACACACACACACAGGAGAACTGTTATTACAGGACTCCCTCTCAGTCCTTTGTCATTTGTTAACTGAATGAGGCCAAAGTGGTCTCTTCGTCTCCCAGACTCAAATGTTTGCACAGTCTGGATTGTTGGGTCTGAGTCTAATTTATGTGTGTTTTTAAGGAATTTAACCTGTGCAGCTGGAAGGAAAGATTCAGTTATTTGTCACCTGGGAGCTGAGCTCACAGAGCTGGTGACATTTCCTCTGAGGACTGTTTCCCAATTCTGTAAGACTGTCACTCCTTTTGGCTTCACCCTAGAAAACATGTCTGTCACAGAAGAGCCTTGCCTTCAAAGTTTATCCACAGATAATAGTCTTAGGAGGCTTAAATTCACACAGCACTGATTTGCTTAACATAATCTGCCCTTAATTTTCAAATAATTTCTAGAATATCCATCTGTTGAATTTTCTGTGACAAAAGATAAGTCACCAGAAAGATGTTTCCATTGAAAGATGCACACTCAGAACACATTGAACTGAGCTGATCTTGTGCAAAAATCTTTATTGATGGTTTAGTATAACAACATCATGTTAGGTTATATAGCTTGTACAATAGTCTTCCTATAGGAAAATTAGAATATAAATATTAAAATTGTGAGTATAATGATTAAAAACATCAGAGGCTGGGAAGATGGCTCAGTTGATAAAGTGCTCGCCTTGCAAGCTTGAGGACATGAGGTCGAGCCTCAGACAAACATAATAAAATCCAGGTGTGGTGTCACAGTCTTGTAATCTCAGGACATGGGAGTTGGAGACACATGGATCCCTGGGGCCAGTCAGAATACCGTACTTGGCGATTTCCAGGCCAACGAGGGACACTGTCTCATGTAACTGTGGATAGTGCCCGAGGAAAGACAATGGAGATTGTCCTCTGGTCCACATACATGCGCAAACACAAGCATGCACAGACAGACACAGAGAGTATGAAAGTAATAAACTATCAATCAGTGACATTACTGCATATTTCCTTGTTTAAAAAGTCTTTTAATTTTATTTTTTGATTGTGTGCGTGTGTGTGTGTGTGTGTGTGTGTGTGTGTGTGTGTGTGTGTGTTTATGCTCGAGTGCAATGCCATGACCAAAAGACAGTGTCAGGTCCCCTAGAGCTGGAGTTATAGGTGTCTGTGTACCAGCTATCCGGCATGAGCACTCGGTCCTCTGCAATAGTCGGAAGTTCTCTTAACTGCCGAGCCATGTCTCCAGCCCCTACTGCACATTTCTTAATTATAATTTCAAGGATTCAAACCTGTTTTTAAGAAGAAGTTAATATCTACATTAAATGAGACTGTTTAGAAGGAAGTTCTAAGACCTTATTTACTTGAGGTGGTTTGAAAAGAGCGATGAACTATGGGTGAGAGGAATATAGGTTTATTCCCATCATACATGGGCCTCAGTTTCTCTATCTGTAAAATGAGTGAAACGTCCTCCAGACTCAGTCTTCTGAAGAGAATTTTGAGGGTGAACCACTTCATAGACACTTCACTTTTTGCCATATGCTAACCCTTGCTGCATGTTACAGAAGGAATGAAGATTTATTGATTCAGTTTTACAGAAACCAAACACAGATGAGCCTCTGAATGACAGTCATTTGAAGAAGCTTAGCTAGGAATCACATAAAATCTTCTCATTAACCGTACTGCTTGGGAATGCTTTAGATTGCCAACAAAGTCTAAATAATTCATTGGATTCTCTTACTGAATTCACAGAAATACTTCCTTACAGATGCACACAATATAGTATAGGATGGATTATGTCAGAACAGTGTCCCATACCTGGGTACCTGTGCCATCATCCTATGCAGGGGACATATATAAGGACATTCATGTTGCTAGACACAGTTGCAAAGTTCATACTCACTGACTCTCCCGAATTCTACAGATGATGGAAGTTTCTTTCTAATACATAGGAAGTCTTGGAAATCCATAATCAAAGTCAGAGCACATGAGCAGTGACGTGGATTCTGCACTCAAGTCAATTCAGAGTTGGCGATGACATGCTTACATATACACTTGGTACAAATCTGCTAGGACTTTTGATATTATAGAAAAATACTATTCCAAGGTATATTCTTGAGAGTAATAGGTCTAAAACAAATTTATAGGTGTTTCAGTAATCAAAGCTTTACAAATGCTGCTTTAATCAGCCTTAAAATATTAAGATGTTTCAATTTTAATGTATATTATTATATACATGTTTATTTATCAAGGATAGGAATATTACGCAGCATTGCTCAAATACATTGGTACACAGAACACTCTTCTTTTCACAAAGCTAGTGTTTTGACACAGACCTGTAGACAATGCCAGATTAAGGAACATTTGGAACCCAAGGAACACTGACCTGGCCACTGACATGGCCTCAGAAATGTTATTTTTGTTATCTCTATGAGAGTTTTTAGTTTTCCATGGTTTATTTTCTTGTATGTGTGTGTGTCTGTGTACATATAGTCAGGCATTTAGGTGCCTGCAGAGGCCAGAAGAGGATGTTAGCCCCCCCTGTAACTGGAGTGACAAGCAGTTGTGAACCATTCAATGTGGGTGCTGGGAATTGAACTCCAGTCCTCTGTCAGAACAGCAAGCGTTTTTAACTGCTGAGCCATCTCTTCAGTCCCATCTGGGGAAGTTTTGTTGACAAAGCAGACACGTGGTCACAAGGTTCTAGATGTGAAATTATATTTACCAAAATGTGACTCTAGTGTTCTGTATTTATTTGAAAAGTATAAAACAATTCAATACTCGTTCCATAGGAGGGTGCAAAATAATAATGAGAAGAATTGACTGAGGCATTTGATCAAAAACCAGATATGCACAACATGGGGTGGGGGTGAAATTAATATCAAGAGTGAGCACAGAAGGAATGAGGACTACGAAGCTTGTGTGATCTGTAATGAAATGTAAGAGATTGGACTTGAATACTGTGTGTGTGTGTGTGTGTGTGTGTGTGTGTGTGTGTGTGTGAAGGTCAGACGACAACGTTTGGGCATTGATTCCTTCTACTATGTGGGCTCCAGGGATCCAACTCTGGTCAACAGTCTTGGTAGCAAGTGCTTTTATGTGCTGAACCATCTTGCTGGACCTCCACCTTCTTTTTTGAGACAGAGTCTCTCACTGAACCCGGAGCTCACTAATTGGATAGACTAGCTAGTCAGCAAGCCTCCGAGATCCTCTTCTCTCTCTCTCCTCAGCTGTGGGGTAACAGAAGCGTGCCAGACATTTTATGTGGGTGCTGGGAGACTGAATTCACCTCCTCATGCTTGCATAGAAAGTGCTTTATCGGCTGAGCCATCTCGCCAACACTGCAGCTTGGATGCTTTCATTCAGCCATTGGACAATTCTTTACTGAATCCTAGGCATTGCCTCTCATGGTAGAACATGTGGAAACAAATAAAACTTGACTCATGCCCTCAAAGAAAAGGTGTTCTGGACACTTACGAGCAGAGTGATGAATGCCTTGAGAGCACAAAGGTCTCTGACCATATAAAGCTCAAGTGGAAATAGCACTAAGCTTCTCAAGCAATTGCTTTTTTTCAAAATTATGAAATGGTTTTTGTGAGAATAGAAGTTGAATGGATAGGAGTTAAACTAGGTGGTTTGTTTCTATGCATGGACGGCAGATAACAGTTTGGTTTGTTCGGCTTAGGGTTGTTTTATTAAGACTGCTCTATTTTTAGTACAATCCTGTTTAGCTTAGCATGGGGATGTGTTTCTTTCAAAATTGCTTTATTACTATAATTGTGCATGAATATTGAACACACACAGCTGATGGGCTAGCCCTCCTTCTTCCAAAGCATGCCTCTTGTATATTGGAAATACTAAGATATACAGAACAACTAATTTTGTTTTTCCTATTTATCTGTGGCCTTAATATTTGACCTCAGCAATTTGAGAACACAGGGTCAGAGGCTTTAAATTTTCCATAAGAACAACTCTTCTAACTTTTATGAGTTAGGAAGTCTTGTTTCATTACATGGCTCTATATGGAAGTTGTGATATTTGTCATGTTTCAAAACTCAAGAAATAGTGGATTTTGTAATTTAAGTCACAGAGTGGAAAACTTTGAATTTACAGAAAAAATATGCTAAAAGATATGAATATGGGTCATACTTGTGTCTTCCATTAATGACAATGTCATTTTTCTGAAACTCCCCTTTTAACTGCCAAAGATGCATGTATGTTATCCCCAATACTTATTTTACTAAATATCATAATCTACCTAAAAAGATGGATATTTTTCTTAGTAAAGGAGTTTAAAAGAAAATACTTCTGGCTGCTTGAAAATGGAATGGGAAAGAAGAACAAAAGAGACTTCAGTGTATCTGTAATACTTTTTTTCCATTTTCTTGGGCAGGGGTGGAGCTCATAGCCCTGCGAGTGTTGGTCTAGTGCTCTACCACTGAGACACATCCCCTGCCTGTTAATTGCTTTATATTAACAAAAGTGATGTGAAAATGGCATTTTCCCATTCACACACTTACTTTATAAATGTGTCATACAGTATTCCTTGGCATTTTTACTTAGAAATGATTGCTAAAAATTACCATGATTCATTCATTCAACAAATGCCCATCTGTGACAGGTGCAAGCAACAAAATGGAGAAAACAGCAGATACCAGCTTCACCCATATGAAATCTGTGTTTGCATGTGTCTTACATAAAATACATAGATCTTACATGGATCTTACATAGAGGGTTTCACAGGACAGCATGAGGAGGTGGGCTGAGGTGACCCATGCTGATATTGCAAAGGTGAACCCATAACTGACACTGGGTCAGTAAACAATGGTCACTATTAATAGGACTTGACTTATTTTTGGTCAAACTAGGGTTTAACTAGTCATGCGCTGGCCATCTATCATCTCATGTCGTGTTTGACGTTTTCGCTTGCTGCAACCCCCAAGTTCACGTGCATACTTCTTTGATTCCTTCTAGTACATGACTGCTGCTGCTGCTCCTATGCAAGGGACCTACATTCCCCAGTACACGCCTGTGCCTCCAACAGCTGTTTCTATTGAAGTAAGTCTATCCCTGTCTGTGGAGAAAGCTGAGGGGAGAGAAATCGCAGCCACGTGAGTCCCTGTAACCCCAGGAATATCCAGGCATAAAATTTGTGCTGCTCTAAAACTTGTAACCACAAGCTCAGCATATGGATGTCTATACATTTGCTCAATAATATTTAATTTTGCACATGAAATGAAAAAATCTTACACTGAGGAATAAGCGAAGGGTAATTTTCATGCTTAGAGAACAGTCAAGAGAACAAATCATTCCCCCTGTCAAACGCAAACCACAAACACTCACACATGGAGAGGAAAAGCAGTTATAACTGCCTTGCTCCTGAGAGGGTTCCCGGACCAGATCATTAGCATCTGTCTTAGATTCTTTTTTCTGTTGCTGTGATAAAATTACTGACGAAATCAACTTAAAAGAGAATAGATTTATTCTGGCTCACAGTTCAAGAGTACATCATGGTGGGAAAGTCAAGGTGGCAGGAGCTTGAAGCAGCTGGTCAATTTACATCCACAATCAGGAAGACAGTGCGATGAAGGCATGCTGCTGATCTGCTCCCATTGTGCATGTATATGGAGTAGGATCCCAACCAGGGAATGATGCCACCCACAGTGGTCTTCCCACCCCGATTAGTACAATCAACATGATCTTTCATAGTTACAGATATGCTCAGAGGCCCATCTCTCAAATGATGCTAGATTCTGTAAGTTGACAGCCAAGATGAACCATCACAGCATACCTAGGAAATTATTTTTTTTTTTAGAAAGAGAAACTATCAAATTCCACCACATCATTTCCTGCATCTGTGTTTTCATTTTAAGGTGACCCCTGAGGAATCCAAACACTCATGAAAATAGACAACTCCTCAATTCTCAAACCCTTCTGCACATTAAAATTGTTGGGAGGAAGATTGAAAATTATGAATTCTGAAGTTCTATCAAGAGAGATTGTGATTGGTTTATCTAGAGTGCATACTGGATATAAGGATTCTTAAAAGATTCCAGATGATTCATATGTATTAAAGATAAACAGTGGTTCCAGTGGTAAAGCACTTATGTAGTATGTGTAAGGTATTTGGCTCCATCCCCAGCACCCTAGAGAGGAAACTAACACAAAGTCCATATTCTGGAGAATGGATCTGAATGTATTTGTAGCTTCAAATAGACAGGAAGACTGTAACTGAATCACTGTGGATACGCTAAATGATATCACTGTGTCCTCAATGGAGGTTTTTCCTCTTTCCTTTTCTCTTTCAATTGGGATAAATCCATACCCTGTAGTTGTCGTCTGACTGGACAGAGATGTCAAGCTGTGGAGAAAAAGAAAAGGAGCCACATAGGCAGTGGTAGACACTTAATGGCGCATTCTCTGGCTCTAGCTAATATTCCTTATCATCCCTCTTCATCTTCTCTCAATGCCCATGTCATTTATGGGAATTTCTTCCTATCACCTGGAAGCTGACATATTAATATAGTGTGCCTTGCATTCACATGTTTCCTGCTCTATGAGGTAACCAGTGACTAGAATGTTTGTATTACCCCATGTGAAAATTGACCAGTAACAAGACTAATGAAAGACTTTACCAACTAAACCAGATCTCTGCAAATATTTATAGAGTTATTTATTGTGTATAACAAATAGTTGCCTGAATCTAGGTAAAGAAAGCCCAAAGTTTAGCAAGACACTGTTGTACAACTTAGGAAGCCAAGGTCATCAAATTATTTTTAAATTTTTTAAATTTATCATGTGTGTAAGTGCACCCATGTCATGCAATGCCTGTGAAGGTCAGAAGACAGTGTCAGATCCCGTGGAACCAGAGTTACAGACATTTGTTAGCCTCCATGTGGGTGTTGGGAATTGGACCTGAGTCCTCTGCAAGGGCCATCTCTCTAGCCACAGTCATCAAATTCATAATTATAAAGAAATTCTAGATGTGTCAGTCAAAAATAATGTCATATTTAGCAGGTTTTCATTGGATTTCTGGAATTCTGGAATTTCAAGAACGTGTGATTAAATTACGTGTTCTTTGCTATATTTAGCTATCAAGAAACACCTATGCCTTGAGAAAATTAATAACAGGACATTTAAAGCACCGTGAGCATAAATCTCTACCACATATTTTCAACTCTGTATCTCTATACCAAAAGCATACACTTTCCGAAAGATCCGTAACATGAGACACATTTGAAAAACCAACATATAGCTAAGTCTGTGGTTAGAATTTCCCTGAGTAAAACATGACTACGCTTTGATATTCTGCTTTGAGTTTGAACTCATAGGGAAAAGCATTTAGTCATTTTCATGTAAAAACACAGGGTGAACATTCACTGATGTCCAAATACAAATAAACCCTGGTTGGAAGTTCAGAAGACTACACAAAAACAAGCAGTACATTGAGAAAGAAATGAATGAATGGCTGTATGGAAAATTTTCAGACAGTAAGAAAAAAAATTCAAAGGTGTTTAGGTAAATAATGGAGAATAGAACAAGAGTATTTGAAACACAATCCTGCTGCAGGTATCCAAGACAAAAAAAAGAAATAAAGAAAGAGAGAGAGAGAGAGAGAAAGAAAGAAAGAAAGAAAGAAAGAAAGAAAGAAAGAAAGAAAGAAAGAAAGAAAGAAAGAAAGAAAGAAAGAAAGAAAAATAGGCGCTATGCTCTGCTTAGGTTGGCTGACAACCAAATAAAACCCATGCCACTCTGAGTATCAAGCACATATCCCTAATAAACATGGTGGCCAACTACAGAAAGTTGTTCTTGCTGATAGTGTGAGAAACAAAAGCTGGAAGGAGGATAGGAGCCAAAATAAAACACAAGCTCTGCTGTTTCTCTTCCTCCTTCTCTTCTTCCTCCTTCTCCTCCTCCTCTTCCTCCTTCTCCTCCTCTTCCTCCACCTCTTCCTCCTCCTCCTCATTTTCCTCCTCCTCCTCTTCCCCTTCCTCTTCCCCCTCCTCCTCTTCCCCTCTTCTTCCTCTTCCTCCTCCTCCTCTTCCTTCTCCTCCTCCTCCTCCTCCCTCCTTTACTTTCCTTTTTCTGAAACCTCTGAATGAATTTCAGTTCACATAAGTCTTAGAAAACAAAACAAAACAAATCAAAAGCTAAGAAAGAGGTTGGAAAGAAGATTCTGCTCTTGTAAAATATAAGAGATCAGTTCCCAGCACCTGTGTCAGTTGGCACACAATCACCTATGACTCCAGTTCAAGTGGGATTTTCTGACTTCTTCTGGCCTTTGTGGGCACTAGCACACACACATATATACACAGACACAACAAATAGACATACACAGAGGCACGTGCACACACACACACACACACACACACACAAATGGGAGTATAATAGGGGACTGGAGAGATGGCTCAAGGAAACCAGCTGTAACTCCATTTCCAGGGGATATGACACCCTCTTCTGGTCTCCATGGGCACCCATCCACATGTGACATATACTCAGAGATACACAAGCACATACACATGAGTAAAAATAAGAAATGAATCTTTTAAAAATGATTTAAAATTTTTGTTCAAAAACCCTGCTCAACTAGATTATTTTAAAAGACTTCTGAAATTTGCTGTAGATTTTTTTGGAGGTTAAAACTCTTTTACTTTGCCCCAAATTGCAATATGGATGAGCCTAGATTCTAATTTATTGTAAGGGTGGTATCAAATAAGTTTTGTCAAATTTTTGAGAACTTCATATAGGAGAACTTTATTTACATCATTTCAGACCCTACTTTTCCTCTCTGACTCTTCCAGGGTCCCCTAATTTCCTCTCAATTTTATGACTTCTTCTTTAACTATTGTTGCAGATTTTTTATGAGGCCAGAGTCCTTTGTTTTGCCGAGCAGTGTAGACACGTTAGGGTGAACTGCCTTAGCCAATTGATCGAATATAGAAATATTTTTAGGAATTCTGAACCAATTTTTTGATTGATAAATTGCTGCTAGTGTAATGATATACAACTACAGTTTATATTCCAAGTAAAAGGTGAAATGGTTTTTGGAACTTTTGACTTCCAATGGCAATGTTTACTGGTCTCACATTATCCATATCACAATATCAACCCTTATGCAAATGTTCTCCTATGCTTCCATTTTTGAACATGCTATGACTTACTGTGGCTGAGGGTAGCTCTTCTCAAACTCAATAGAAGAGAGGTGTTTATGATCCATGTAGTGGGCCTTTTGCTAAAACAAATAAGGCCTTTTGTGTACTGATTTGTCTCTCTAGGGTGTCGTTGCTGATACCTCTCCCCAGACGGTGGCGCCTTCATCCCAGGACACCAGTGGTCAGCAGCAACAGATAACAGTGGACACATCCAACGAACATGCCCCTGCATACTCTTACCAACAGTCTAAGTAAGTTTGTCCTACACTGAACTCTTTCCTTTAGAACCAACGATATTGTAGTCATTCTCTCAAAGTGTATCTGTTAGCTTCTGTTGCAGACACTTGACCCACTACATACTTAGTGACAGGCACTGATTTAGCTCATGATAATGTGAGCTGCTTTGAGCTGATTTCAGATGGGTGCACCTTCTAGCCTTGGCTGACCTCAACATGCATGTCCATTCCTGGTTATCTGTGGCTCTCCGCTTTGGATTGGTGTAAGGGGTAGCTACCTGTTTCTGGTCTTCCAACAAGCTAAGTTTCAGGGAAGTCAAAAACAAGAAAAGCAAATGTTCTGTTTTGTTTTATACCCATTGGCTGCAATTCCATTGGTTAATGGAACTTATGTGTTCCAACAGTCAGTGACGATGTCCACTACTAGAGAGAGGCATTGCAGACATCAAAATAAATCTACTGTACACACTCCTGGAAAAATTCCAGTATCCATATTTGAAACAAGACAGTAAACCTACATTCTGATCTCTAAATGATGACAGGGACAGTCTCATTGTATACTCAGTTACATGTTCATGAAAAAAAATGAATGTTATAAAAAATATAGTAGAGATCAGCTCTCTGCTCAGATACTAACTGGCAAAGGAGAAAAAATAATTTTTCAAGACTTGTTCATGAACGACTTTAAATTTCTCATAAAGAAAAGCATGTTTGGCTTTGTATGGAGCAAATATGAATACTAAAATCCGAAACCAAAGGAATTTAACAATAGGAAAGTCTACATAGAGATGCCTTGGCATGCAAACCATTCAATTCTGTAGATCACATCAAACCCCTGCTGAATGGACAATTCTCATATCACATCGTTTATAGAGTTTCACTCTGTTTCTTTCTCATCATTTTGGTTATTAAAGAAGTAATCCTGTAACTCTTAAAATAGTGGAGAAACTGAGGGTCTTTGGCCATGCCTATAGTCAACAGATGAATGGATAAAGAAAATTTGGTATACACATACAATGAAATTTTATTCAGCCATAAAGAAAAATGAAAGAATTTCACTTCCAGGAAAATGAATGGAACTGGAGATTACCATGTTAAACAAAATAAGCCAGATTAAGAAAGAAAAGTACCACATATTTATTCTCATATGAACATTCTAGATGGAAATACACACATACATACACATATACATACACGTATACATATATGCATACACAAACACATCAAATGTGAAAGTGGAAGGGAACCATGAGTGAGGATGAAAATGTCTGAAGAGAGGGGAAGATAAGAAAGATATGATAATAGAAGTAAGAGAAGAAAAATAACACATACAGAATTGAGACATAAATACATGTCTGCATATTATCTATAAATAGGTATTACACACATTGTGACAAGAAAATAGAACAGGGCTATTTGGGAAGAGAAAGCGGACCAGAGAGAAGGCAGGAGGAAGGGTAAGGAAAGGCAGTGGAGGACTGAGCCATATAAAAGCCATTATTTTGTGTACTAACTAAAATTAATCTTTCTTTAAAATCATATTGGTGTTAGAATATGGACCTTTTCCTATCATTGGATTCAAAACAAAACACGAGCTTTACTTTCATCTTCAATGATATGGAATGGAATTTTTGTGATCAACTCCCTTGGATTTCAGACTTACAGACTTAATCTAGCACCATTTCACTGGCTCCTCTGTGTTCCCAATTTTCTGATTGCAGATCTTGGCACCCAGTTTGTTATAATTTCTTGGTCTGTCTTTCTCTCCTTTCATATGGATGTGTGTTTGTATATTTATTTATTTTTTATGACCATATTGGTTTTGTTTTCCTATAGTACCCTCACAATTGTAGCTGGAACATGTCTTCTCAATAAGAAGTGAAACTGATTTTGTTTGTTCCAAAGTATAATGAGGAAATGAGAGATCTTATGACTTGGAACTTTCCTGCTAGCCTTTCAGTGATTTCTAAATGGTCATCCAATCAATCAGCCATTACTTACTGAGTACTGAAGGTCTGATTGTGGAGAAAGGGGAGTTGAGTCCTCAAATAAATTCTTAAAAGCTTTATTCCATGATAAACTTTGGGAAGTCTGAATATGACCACATGTAACATGAACTGTTTAAATGTGCTTATACTTATGACCACCCTGTGGTCATTTACCTTGAACTACAGATTCTCAGGGTTGACAATACCGAGTTTACTAATGAATAAAATAGTTTCAAGACCTGTGTCCTCATAGTTCAGAAACCCTCATGATGAAGAGCGCTTCCTCAGTGGAAGGTACTCACTTTGTAATCATTCAAGGTTGTATGCTACAAAAGGGTTCATACCTCATGCTCCTAGAGGCAACAGACCAGGGTAAAAGCACCTAGAGCTGGGACATTCCAAAACCATTGTGTGTGAAACCTACTTGCATTTTCTTGGGACCATTTTGTTAAACCTTCCTGTTTTTGTCCCAACTCTCCCCTCCCCGAAACCAAAATTTAACAGGTCTTATTTATGTCTTCAATTTCCTCTTTTTTACATGGCACAATATGTTAAGGAACTTTTCAATGGAAACATCATGCTGTTGAATGAAACATAACAGTATACTCTGAAATCCATTGTGGGTGGCACTCACTGTGAAATTGCATAAGGTGTTTTTGTCATTTCATTCAACCTGTTATCAGTTTCAGCCAACAGAATGTGGCCTGTGTTGTGGTAAGTCATGGGGTTCTTCAGACATTGAAAGAAGACAAATGCTTGGGCTGAGCATCCAGGTCATGTAACTAGGTTCTTTCTCACTGGTAAGCAGCACTAGGGAGAGCTGGCGGGGGGATGCTAGCATACTCCAAAAGACATTAATTTTAAAAGCTTTTGCTAGGGACTGGAGGGAGGGCTCAGTAGTTAAGAGCACTGGCTGCTTTTGTGAAGGACCCAGAATCAGTTCCCAGCACCCACATCGCAGCTAACAACTGTCTGTAATTCCAGTTCCAGGGTCTCTGATACCCTCTTTTGGCCTCTGCGGTCATTGCACACATGTGGTACCCTTACATACATGCAGGCAAAACATTCATACACATAAGAATAAAAATAAATAAATTTTAAAGAGCATTTGTTTGAAAATGGAAACAGCAATGGCTGCAGCTTATAGACAATACAAATCCTGGCTCTGTTCTTTACAGCTGTCTGACCATACCTGACATGGAGTTTTCATTTGGGCTAGATGTGAACTCTTTAAGGTTGGAGGACTCTGCAGTACTTATCGAGGCCACTGGAAATATATACCATGCATTTCCATCCTGAGATCAAACCTCAAGCAGTGTCCTAATGTTGAAGTTCACAAATCCCCCCAAATTCCTATTGTGTTGTTTCTATTCCAGTATAATGGAAATTTCTCTAAAAGAATTGAGCATATCCATGCTATCCTAGTTGTCTTAAATACTCCATATTCCACAAATGGCAGCTCTCACTTCCAGCATCATTAGGCTACTGGAAACGCCACTACTTTGATTAGCAACCCCTTTTCACAATCATTACGCTCATTGCAAACCAAGGCTTTTCTCCCTAGCTACTAGCTTACCTCCTCTGGGTCATGAAATTCAGAGCAGAGCAACCAAGTGTTCCCTGAAAAGTGGCTTGACACATCACACTTATATTTATATTTAACACTTCACATTTAATACACTCACAAATATCGACACCCAAGACACTGTGAACTTTAGCCATCACAAACAAAGGCTGCAGGAGAAAAGTTTGAAAAATACAGATGATGGAGCTTAGGAAGAAACTGACTATATCTGGGATCTATCAGCAAATATTTTAACATTCTAAGCTCTACTTTCCAGAGTAAAACACAGAACTTGGGGCTAAAGAGATGACTCAGTAGTTAAGAATGCTTACTGTTCTTGCAAAGGATCCTTCCTAGTTAGTTCCCCAGCTCCCTTGTTCAGCACTTAATAACTTCTTATAACTCTAGCTCCAGGGGATCCACACCCTCTCCTGACCTCCATGGTACCTGCATGCATGTGCACATACACACTGACATACACATTTACAAGTTTTTATTTATTTATTTTTTACTTAACTGCCAAGCTTGGTGGCTCATGCTTTTAATCCCAGCTTTCGGGAGGCAGAGGCTGGCAAACCTCTGGGAGACTGAGGCCAGCCTAGCTTACATAGTGAGTTCCAGGCCAGCTGGGGCTACAGGGACACCATCTTTTGAAAAAGAGACCAAAAATAAGACTAAATTTAAAAATCACAACATTATATACAAATGAGGGTTGATTTCCCACTCTTAAATCATTGATGCAAAAGGGCCTCTGTGCTATTATCATAGAAAGACAAAATAATGAGTGTGGTTTATTTTGAAAATTCTATGGTTCCCAACCAAGTTATCACTTATTCTCTGTGCTATGTATAAAAACTTAAACATAAGTAGAGTCTGGGGTCTGGGGAATGGCTCAGTGGGTAGGAGTACCTGAGGACCTGAGTTTGAATCCTCAGCACTCACATAAAAAGCTGGGCATGGCTGCACTTGCCTGCAGTCTCACCATTTGGAGTTGGGTGGAGGCAGAAACAGGCAGATCTTACACTCTTTGGCCAGTCAGCCTAGCCAAAACAGCAAACTTTTAGCTTCACGGAGAGAGCCTATCTCAAGGCAATAAAAGGCAGAGAGCTATAGAGGTAGATGCCGTACCTCAACCACTGATCTCCACATTTCAAACCTTAACGCACACCAACAGACTATGTGTATCCACACACATACAGGCAAATAAAGATAACTAGAACACGAAATGAATGTATGCATATGAAGTTAACTTCCAGTTGTAGAACCAGAAATCCTTGGGTCAAATTGCACATTCGTGACCTTCCAGTTATGGGTCAAGTCCTAGCATCCTGACCTTCCCATTTAAGCTGACCATGTGATCATTGTTCTCCAAAGACTGTAGATTCTGTCTCTTATTGGAGCTAGGGTTAGAAAGCCCCTGAGCAGATATTGATCAAATCATGGGGAACAGTGTTTGCAAATGAAAACACTGTTCTCCTGTTGTAGCTATCTTAAAAGACACTGGAACAGGGCAGTGAAATTCTTCAAATAGCCAAATATTTTACTTCCCAAACATTTAGGGTATATGCTGACTTATTTCTATGGAATTCCAAGAATTAAAGATTTTGAAGGAATGTCGTTCACATGTTGTATCTATTAAACACTCAAGGTACCCAAACGAAGGCCCATGGCCACTTGCAGCCCAGGAGAGCTGGTCACATCACAGTGTTACACAAAACAAATATTTATATGCTTTTTCAAATCCATGGGCCACAGGATGTAACCTGTGTAACCCCAGACAGTTCTCTGTCCCATGTGGCCCAAAGACTCTGAAAGTTTGGCTACCCTATGGGATTCTTTTAAAAAAACATGATCTTGGTGCTTTTTATCCCCAGCCACATGTATATAATAGTGGTAATAGAGGGCACAATTTTTCCCAAGTTGGACCACAGAATACTTCTTTGTGCATAGCATCATGTGACAGAACTGTGTCCAAAACTGCTCTGAGACATACTGAACCACTAGAGAATCTCATAAGACTTCTGAAATACTAGATTTTTTGTAGTGGTGATAGGCTGTTTCCCAGTCTATTCATGCTGTTTTATTTGGGGAGGGGTCAATGAGAGGATCTAGCATTCCCCATAGCTCTGAAGGGCTTTTTCTCCCTTGTGGTCTTCCAGTTTTTTAATCTTCAGCTCTTCACTGGCAAACTGAACCAGCAGATTTCCTAATCCGTCAACACACTGAGGATGTGCAGATTGTGTTGATATGCATTAGGACCTTCGGTGTACATGGTGTTTCACAGTTAGCAATGTTTTCCATGCCAGTCCCTTTCACAGAAAGTACTCTGTCTCAGGCTATCTAACTGGCAATCCAGTCGGCTGTGGCAGGAGCAGGAGACGGTGTACCATCCTGTTGTCCATGGCACCATTCCCAGCTTCCTTAACTCTTTAGGGTAAAATTGGATCCTTCAAAAGAATTGCAAGACAAACTAGTACAAAGTAAAGCTAGAGTTTATTTTATAGTTGGATAGGCTTACAGGGGAAGAATAAAGCCCACCCAAGCATGTGTGTGTGCTTCTTAAAGGATTACCACCCCCCTTAGTGCCTTAGAATTAACCTTGTATATTATTTTTGTGGCTTGCAAGTTAATTGCAAAGAGGTATGTATTAGTGACTTTTTCAGTTGCTGTGATAAAATACCATGACCGAAAGAAACATAAGGAAGAAAAAGTTCATTTTGCCTTAAGATTCCAGAGAGGGAGTTCATAAATGGTCAGAAGGCAAGGGAGCGAGAGCAGAAAGCTGGCTGGCAAATTTTATTCACACACAGGAAGTAGAGAGAGCAAGCAGGAAGTGAGGTGAGGCTATAAATCCCCAAAGCCCACCCCCATGATGTGCTTCTTCTAACAAGACCCCACCTCCTAAAGGTTCCATAACCTCCCCAAATAGCACCACCAACTGAGGATCAAGTGTTCAAACTCATGAGCCTATAGGGGAGATTTTTTCATTCAAACTGCCACAAGCTATTAAGAAACATTTTTTAACCCCCTTCCTTTCTTTTGATAATTAAAATTCTAGGGGTGGCTCAGGATGTGCCTTGGGTGGGATTAAAATCTGACTAAATAAGACCAGGAGTCATTAGGGTTGCACAAATGGGGTTAGGATATGTCCTTTTAATATAAAGAAAGAGCGATTTGGGTGAGATTCCTAGAAAACTTCAGCTTTATAACTGAGAAGGGAGAAAGGTCTTAAACAAATGCAATTAAATGTGTTGGAATTCTTGATTCTCAGCTGGTGAGAGGCTTCAATTGGACTTCAAAGTGAAGGTGTCCTTTTCCTTCCCATGCCTGGAATGCCTCAACATTGCTGTCCAACTGTAAATGGTCACATAATTAGTGATTCAAACCGTGAAAATCAAGACTCTTATTTTTACAAGTATCCTTAAGTATCACATACATACACATTCAGACTGTCTTTTGAACAGAGAAAGTTACTATAGAGGATGACATTTGTTGACTGAGTTAGTGATGAATGAATATAACGACTCAAAGATTCTGTGGAGAGCTGTAGACAAAGCCAGATAATAAAATCTAGATTCTGGAGTCATAGGGAGTTGTATTCATCTGTTTTCTGTTGCTATAACAAAATAACTGAAGCTGGATAATGCATAAAGGAAATAGATTTGCTTAGCTCACAATCCTAGAAGCTGGAAAATCTCAAACTGTGCAATTCCATCTGTCTAACATCCTCTGAGGAACTTTTTGGCAAATAACATCATGTGTCCACATGAGATGCTAAAGGGATCACATGATGAGCTGTGAAGCAAAGAACCAGGAGGGGTGAGACTTCCTCTTTCATTACAACTTCCTCTTTCACAAACCAACTCAAAGGCCATGCCTAGTGATGATCTTCTTGTTGAGTGACATTATTCCTCAGGAGATGTATACTATCCCAGATAAAGAACTAACAACCGATCAAAGTAAAGGTAACACCAAAGTCCAAAGTGGTGAACCAATGCGTTTTATTAGTGTTACTTAAGGAATATGGATGGGGGGGTTACTTAAAAGAGGAGAAATGACTCAAAGACAACTGTACGCCCAAAGCTCATCCCAGCATGGTTAATAGTTCATAAAAGCTGGAAACCCAGAGTGCACGTCAGAGTTTTCAGGCAGCTCAACAGGTTGGGTAGTATTTCTTCCAGGCAGCTCAGCTTGTCTGAGAACGTCTCTGAGCAGTCCTTACTGCTTATATATAATTGAGATGGGAGGAGCATAGTGTATCTGGTCAGTTTCAGGAACTTCCTGAAGCATTCCAGCTGCTTGCTTCCTCAGCTTAACAAGCTTCCCTGCAGGATGCAATGTTTCACCACACTTTTCTGCATCCTTTATCTTACAGAGCTTCCTTGAAGGCTGGAATGTTTTAGCTCAGAGGAAATTGCCACACAACATAACTGTAATCCAGGGAAGATCAACTCAAGGTCATTTTCAGCTGCATAATGAGTTTGAGCTAGTCTAGGCTACATGAGACCTTGTGTCAAAACTCCAAACACAGTAACTGTCTTAATACTTTCAGTATACAGTATGATAGTGAGTGATCTGCTATGAGGCTCCACTTTTTAAAGATCTCATCATCACCTCTCATGGTTCCACTGGAGACCAAACTGCTCATCATGAAGATTTGATAAACATACTGACACCAAACCATAGCAAAAGTGATGACTTTCTGGGCACATAGGGGGTGTATTTTGTAATATTTAATACTTCACAATGAGAAGATCCCTTTGGTCTATCAACCTTGAATTTTAGCTTGAGCATAGTCTTGCTTGAATTAATATTAATATTTATATGAAAGCAAGTGAATTAGGCCACCTATAAGCTAATATGCACACACCATGTCATTTTGACTGATACAGTGAAAAGGCTTGGTAAAGCGATGTGAAGCAAAAGCACAGAAGTCAAATGCAGAGCTCCTTTGATGTAACAACCACTCTTATTCAATTGTTTTTGCAGACCATAAACAGAAGTGAAGAATGTCTGTACGAAACTTTGCCTTGAATGAGGAAACTTCATTGAACAAGAAGTTAGTGGCTTCCAGTTTGCACAGGCGTCAATGGAAAGCTTTCTTCTTCTTCTTCTTCTTCTTCTTCTTCTTCTTCTTCTTCTTCTTCTTCTTCTTCTTCTTCTTCTTCTTCTTCTTCTTCTTCTTCTTCTTCTTCTTCTTCTTTTTTAATTTTATACTTTACTTGATGAAAACAAAGTTTTTATGTGCTGTGCAAATGGTTCCTCCGTGTGGTCTGACAGTGGTTTTTGTCATCCTTTTCTTTTTTAATTAAAAAAAAAATCCCAGAAGAGGGGGAAAAATAAACATCAAAAGCTGATGTTTTATGTGGAAGACATAAATTCAGAGCTTACCTGAAAGTGTAGGTAGGATTTTTGTTTTTGGTTTTTTTGTTTGTTTGTTTGTTTTTTAAGCAGAAAACCCAATGTCAAGAAGTGGGCAACCAGAAGTGGAAGAAATCCATCTTCCTCAGTCATTAAGCTACGTCTTCTTTCCTTTTTCTTTCTTGGTTAAACCTACTGGGTTGTTTTTTTTTTTATATTTTATGTTTTCTTAGAAATATTTAGGTAAGGTTTATCTTGAATCTTAATTGCCTTAATTTTAAGGACGTCAAAGGCTCTCGAGGCACACTATCAACGTCTTGTTAAAAAATTCAAGAAAGATTTGAAATATTGTGCCAGTTTTCACTAGCACAGAAGATGAAGACTGTGTTTTTAGGGTGGAAAAAAAAAGAAAACTGTACAGTTTAAAAGAAAATGTTTTTTCTTCATTTGAAGAAAATTTGTTGATAAAAGAAACCATGGCAACTGCAAGAATTGGGAAATGCTGGGACTTTTCGTGAACTTTGACACAATCATTGTAGAAGGCTATAAGACATTTTACGGTAAAGTTATTCGTGTTGGTTTAAAAACAACTGCATTAGAAATAATGCGTGTTTGGGGGGCAGAATGCACATTTTTTTTATTTCCGAAGCGTGATTGCTAGCAAAAGCATTAGTGCTTTTTATCTGCAGTCTTTTTTACGAGCTTTACAAAGTTTTTAGTCAGCTTTGCTTGTCACATTGCAAAACTTAGCTTAAGAGCATTAAAAACGAAAACTTAAGTAGATAGGAGCTTATGGTCAAAAAGTGCAAAAAAAATCCACAAAAAAAGCAATAGATAGAGAAATTGTTGACAATTTCTGTAGTCTTTCCTAGTTGTGATCAATTTCAGCCTATGGATGGCCTATTTTATACCAAAGATGAGTGAGACCCTGTTATCCTCCAGAAGATAAAGGTTGCTTTTCTTTTCTTTTTTCCAAAGTTCTGTTTGACCTACATGGCCGGACCAGTTCTAACTTTGTTTAAACTACCTTCCACTGATGTTTTGCATATGGCAAAAAAAATGTTGTTTTTCTAAAAATGTATATTTGTTGATAGTTTAAGTTTCCCTACCATCTTCAGCAGTTCGGCATGAAGAATCTGGGTACCAACTAATGGGACCAGGTGGCATTAATCCCTGTGAACTTTTCTGACTCCTGGATGGCTCTCTTCCATAGTAAAATACAAACTGAAGGGTACTTCCTGAACATGGCCTCAAAGATTTCTGAAAGGTTACTTCTCAGAAAGTTTCAGTAATGCTGTGTGAAGTGGGGAGGGGTCCCATGAGTTTTCATACATTGATAACAATAGTCTTCCTTCTAAACTCCTACATAACCTAGTTTTGCCTTCTCTTCAACATTGTTATTATCCCATCATGAACAGACATCTTGATTCTGCACTTGGTGAGGGGGTATTGTCTTTTTACCTCATTCCATTTAATGCTCATATCTTGATGGTGACAGGATAGACAATGAGGACCTTTTTTTTTTTTTGGTTTAATTTTCGGAGGCAAGTGGGATTATTAAGATTGAAGAGTCCTATTAGTGGAAGAGAGGGAAATTCTTAAAATGCTGGTTGACAATCAATAAATTGTATGTTTTATGTCAACAAGAGCCAAAAGAATGAGGGTTAATTAATCATTAAAACCAAAGGAGATATTTTCACACAGAATAAAGCAAAAGTTAGCCTAAATTTATTAAATTGACTTACTAAGAAAATTCTTAAGTTTCTGATTCATTACATCCAGGTTCAACCTACACAGGTTTAACTGAAATGGAAAGATAATGGAACAGAATCCTATTCATTGAACCATTCTCAATAATTGCTTTTTGACTGAAACATTTGAATCAAGTAGGTGAAGCTTTTTGAACTATGTCTTAGGAACCTGTCTGAGTCCATAAGAAAGAGAGAGAGAGAGAGAGAGAGAGAGAGAGAGAGAGAGAGAGAGAGAGAGACATATTCAGACAGGAAAAGAGAGGGGTCTTTAAAGGAGTATTAGGCAAATCATAGTCCCATAGGTGAACATTAAAACTAAGGAGTTTGACCCAGCCTAAATGATCAATAGACCCTGGTTCTTTTATTTGTAACCCCATGGATTAAGGACTCAAAATTAGAGAGTAACTCCATATGTTGGCCATCAAACTAGTTATGGAGCAATATCCAACAAGATGCCCACACAACACAGAGAAATTCAGGTTTTCACATTTATCCTGATGGTTTTCCACACTTTGGAGAGAATCTAGATTTCCACATTCTTCATTTGCACCTGTCAGCTTCCTGTGTATTGCACGGGTGGACTTGAGTTTTGTCTTTGGAAAGTGATCCCTCAAGTTACAGGGGTATAAGAAAACTTATGTGTGAACTATAGTTACTGTTCCTCTTTTGCCCTCCCTAAATTCTTTGTATAAGTAAGGATTATACTGGGCATCATTCATGTGAATATGAAACCAACATGCTTTCTTTTTGTTTCTGTAAAAAGTACCAAAAACACGTATTATTGTGACAGAAAGTCTCATTTGCATAATCAACAATGAGGCTAAGAGACAGCTGCTATGTGGCTGTTGAAGGTGCCTGGATAACTTCCTGTTTCTACTCAAAATTCTTGTTGTACGTATACATTCAGAAACATTTCTTTCAACTATGACATTTCAGCCACTTTAGGCAAAAAGAAATTACACTTGTCATTTTACATGTTTGTGCGTGTGTTTTGTGTTTAGGTTGTTTTTATCCTGCCGGTCTGTAAAATCTTTCTAGAAGAAAAACACAAGAAAAAATGGTGCATGTTCAAATCGGCATCCCTTTCTCTGTCATTTTTACCTAAGATTTGTTTTCAAGAGTCCAGTATGGGAGGGAAAGAAAAAGCAATAGAAAAGCAGCATTACATTGTAAGAAGAAAAACCCAAAGCACATGTTCAGTGTCTGCAGATGTCATTATCTTAATATAGTCAACATTACATACCATGAGAATCCTCATCCAATAATCATTTTTTTTAAGTTGAAGTAAAATTCCAGTTCTTCAGATAGTCAAGATGTTTTGCTATTGTGTTCTTTCTTTCATTGTCATATCTTAGATGACAAATTAGGAAACCAAGTAAAGCCACAATCCAGAACAGATGAATATCATGTCATTTAAATTCTGCTTATGTGGTCAGAGGAAGAATGGATTTCTTTAAAAAATGACAAGGTACAACGGGAGGCAGAGTGTATACCGTAACTGGGAGGTCCCAGTGCATGTATGCATCCATGTTGAAGCCTGCATGAGCTAATGATAACATCTGCAGGTGCTGAAGACAGTTTGTCCTTGGGGAAGACATATCTTGAATAGAGCAAGACATATGGTAATTTCAAAGAAAATCCTGTGTTGATTCCAGTTTCTCCAGGATTGGTTTGTTTCATTGGTAAATTTCGACAGTTCAAAATACTGTCTCCATATATTCTTGTGACCTTAGTACATCTGCCACCTTTGCAAGCATAGTATTCAAGTCTACCCCTTTGTAATGGATAACTACATGGTATGAAAAGCATCCTAAACTACAATGCGTGAAAAGCATCCTATCAGAGAGAAAAAGCTGACAGCAGGAGGCTGGGTGGAATAAGGACTTCACACTGTGTCACCATGGCAGAACATACTTCATTGACTCCATTACAAAACCACTTTCAGTTCACACGAATAGTTTGAATTATCTGACCTATTTTTATACTGCCCTAACATCCCCTTTAATGAAATGTGAAATGTGATTTAAATAGGACCCTTGCAGTCTTCTTCATGATTGAGATAGTTCAATGGGATGTCCACACAAATTTTAATGTTAACAGACGAAAAGTACTTTTGACAATTCCATCTTCAGTTGTGTGTATGAGCAACTGCAGACAAGCTGATAACACTTAAGTGAGTTTCAGTGAAAAATACTTTATATGATTTTAATCAGATGAAAGGTCAGAATTGAGAATCACATAATGGCATATGCACATTGAATAATCACACAGAATAACATAATATGAATGTGTCACACAATCTGGATCTACTGTATTTTCACCACAGTTGTGGGGGTAGAGGATGAGGTTTTGTTTTATGTGCTATAGGGGCTGGCGTTCTAAAAGGTTGTGAGCCTCTGTCCTACCCCAAGGCTAGCAGAAACAGCAGGCTTACTGATCTGTACCCTTCTCATAGCAAAGGCTTAATGGACTTTCATTCATGAATCAATTCATTTTATAAATCTGGCGTAAAATTTATAATCTGGTTATAAAATTTATAAATGTTTGAGTGTGACTCAGGTTTAAGATTTCTTAAGTATGAAATTGTTCCCTTAATCCAAATGCTCTTGGTCTTGACCATCCTTTGTGATTACATGGAGTTCAGGAAAGTGCAAAGATGAAATACTAAGTCCCCAGGAGACCCCTTGATTCTCAAGAGTGGAGTTCAGCCTAGATTAATGACTAGTGCTATCTTTGGGCTAATGCTCCAACAAGCAAACATGGCCATTGTCACAGAAGGGTTGAATGTCCTCTTAGCATTCCCAGCTAAATGGTTCTGGACAGGACAATGACATACTAAGTAAAGTTCCTCTCACTGGAGAAACCACAGAGCTGAACAGAGGCAGGAGAAAGTTTGGAATGCAGAGAGAACTTTCTGTTTTCCCTCTCAACATTGATTTATTGAGAGAGTATGCCACAAATTCTGATAATCCATATTATCCTTTTCTCATTCATGCAAATAATTGAGAGTTGGCTGCTTTCTTGCAAAATAAAAGGGAAAAATGCTAGCTAACAGAGAATTTCGCTTTCATCAAAAGAAAGCTATTTTGGTTTCATTCACTTTATAGAAACGTAAATCAGGAGGAAAAATCAACACTATTTCTATTAGGAGAAAATAACAGTAGTTTTTGGCTACATGTGCATTTCCATCCCTATCTTAAATCTTTTAAGTACAAGAAATGCAAATTATTTTTGTTCCCATTTGATTCTATATTAAGATTGAATGACACTGATATTCCAGGAGATAATTTATGTTCACAGTTAAACTAAGTTCAAAGTGTAATGTTAGTGTTATACTTTGGACTGTAAACCCTCTGGTTCTAGGTTATTAAGAAAGACGCTCTGTCCTCCTTCCCAAAATGTGTTATGTCCTCACATGTACAAAGGAGTTACTCCATTCTCTTCAAGAATGGTAAAAATTATTTCAAAGAGATATTGGATGTCTGAAATTGTTTTTTTCTCCATTCTCGAAACAAATGCTTCCAATTAGTTAATAAGAATACAATTGGAATCAATTTTAAGACTCTGCGGGAAAGTACTACAGTTTCTAAGAAAAATGCAACACAGCTCCCTCTTTTAAAAACCTTGTTTTAGGCCCTTCAGTTCAACATCATGGACCTTCTGAAACATCAATTTGAGATTTTATTTAAGAGAATTTTTGTATTGCTGTCTCTGGCTGTCATGGAAAGTTCTGTAATTCTATGTTGTTTCTGATTTTATTTTTAATTTTTTTCATCTGTACTATGGTCAAGTTAGATACCGTTTCCCCTATCCCTTGGGCTCTCTGTAGATCAGTGGATATTAGGTTTAAATTTCTGTTTTCTTTAACGAAGCTTTCAATAAAAAATGAAAATAAATGAAGCAGGGCTGTGGTGTTTATCTACAGTGTTTCAGATACCTGTTGTGGGAGTGTATGTGGGTAGGCTGCACAGGGAGCTGTGTCTGTGCTTAATATAATGTGCATCTGGAATCCCTCAAGGAAATAATCATCCCAACAAAGAAAGTATGAGGGTTAGAAAGTGTCCATTCTTGCCAGGGGTTCAGAGAAAGTCACCCTGGGGGACTTTAGAGAGTTCACAGTCCTCTGATGAGGTCTTCCCCTGACTTCCCAGAACTCTTACATAAACAAGGGAGTTGAACCTTCACACATCTCCCATCTCCAAAAACACTTAATACCCAGTATCCATATGGAACAATGTGAAGTCCAGAGTTATATACAGCAAGATGTTTATCAGCTGTGGCTTGAATCCCTACAAAAATTGTGAGGCCAACTGGAACCAGAAGCAATCATTCTTCAAGCTTTGGATGATTATGGTAAGCAAATAAGTAGAGCAACAGTTCTCTGTTCTACAACTTCCCCTGCTCACTTGGATCTCACAGTCCAAGAAATAGTTTGTCATATGCATTTGTTATATGGTTAAAAAATATATGCTGTGTAGGATGGAAAAAACTGGATGAAGTCCAATTTGTTAAAGAGCGAAGTCAGTGATTTTTTAAGACATAAAAGCTAAGAAAAAAATGAAATGGGGGATACACACATATGTATATATACATATATGTATACATAAATGTATATATATGTATATGTATATATAGAGAGAGACAGAGAGAGAGAGGCAATCTATGTTCATAATGTCTGATTAGCTCACCCTTTGGTGACATCTATTATGGCACTCATAATAGACTGTCAGGCCATTGGACTCTCAGCTCCTGTCCCTAAGCTATCTAAGTAGATGCATCTTTCATTGGCTCTCTCCTTCTGTCGCCCTTCTTACAAACTTGAATTCTGTGGTGTATCATTCACTACTGGTGGGGGAAGGTGATGCAGCGGAGGGAGAAGGATATAGGAACATCACAGGAAGTTCAACTTCCAAGGTCCTTCCACCCCTCTTGTACTTTACCTCAGTGGCTCACCAATAGATTGGCTTACAATGTATGGTCTGTGAGGATTTCATAGCTCAGTCTAGTCCACAAGGCTGGATGTCTCAGAAGTGCCGATCTGGTGTGGAAGACTTGGAGAATTCCTAGAGAGCTTCTGGTCTTCAGTGTCTGTTAGAAGCCTGAAGAAGCCAGTTCCAGTAACAGTGAAGGAATACCACAGCAATAGGATACATGAACGTACCAGCAAGAGTGAAGGCAAGTAAGCTAAAAGCAGTTTCTGTCTTCCATATCCTTTTATCTAGATTACCACCAGAACATGGACCTCCTCACTTCAAATAATCTGATCAAGTACCTCACAGGAGTGGCCAGAGGCTTGAGTTTTAGTTGGTTGTGGATCTGCTCAAGTTGACACCCAAGATTAGCCCTTACACTTCTTGTCTTGCATTTAAGCGCTGTGGTTAGAAAATCATGGTTCAACTTGTGAGCCTTCCTGGTCCAAACTTGTAGAATATCTTAACCTCACAGACTATTTGTAATGCCACACATGTCATTTAAAATATATGCCTGAGGAAGGGTATAGATGGCCAGGCTCTAAGAAGGTGCTGTATATGTTCCCTTTTCCTATAGACAAGCATTTGTCATGACAAAAGAGAAAGCTGCAAGAAAAATAGATTTATTCGAGACTAACAGGAAATAAGCTGGAAATGAACATAACTGAATCCATGTCGTAGTCTATTGAGACACTGTACCTCGGACTGCATGTCACTCACAGTTTTGGAGTAGTTCCAGATCCCTGTGTCTAGTTCCTACGGAGTTGCTTTGTACATGACTTCATGGGACGGAAGTGACAACCAAGCTCCCTTGGGCCTCTTTAATAAAAACACCCATCCCATTGATGAGGGCACCACTCTGATGCCTTCATTTTTTCCCAAAGGCCTCAATTCATCCTCTATTTTTATTTTATTTATTTATTATTTGTTTTTATGTGTGCTTTTTATTTTAGTTAGGGTCTCCCTAGTCCCAGCCCGCCTGGAAGTCACTATGTGAACCAGGCTGGCCTTCATCTCTCAGAGATCCACCTGCCTCTGCCTCCCCTGGGCATTAAAGCATGTACTACCACATCCCATTTAGGCCCCGTTTCTTAATGCCATCTTCTTGGGAGTTAGAAGTCAACATTTTGTACAGATTTTTTAAATTATATGTGTATGTGTGTCTGTGTAGGAAAGTACATGGGGGGTGTTGGTATTTAGGCAGGCCATAAGAAGGCACTGGTTTCCCCTGGAGACGAGGTTGTGAGTCATCTAATGTGGGTGTTTGGAGCTGTATCTTAATCTGCAAGTACTCTTAACCACTGTGCCATTTCTCTAGTCCCTGGAAATAAACATTTTGAAGGGACACAACCATTCTATTCTGTTTAAAACAGTGGTTCTTAATTTGTTGGTTGTTTAAAATTCAAGAGTAAATAATAATACCACATCCATTCTCTATATGCACAAGAAATTTTGTTTTAAATTGAAGCATGTGGAACTTTCTGAAAGACTTCTAATGAAGGATTCTTTTACTGTGGGATATGGAGATGAGAGAAAAAAGATTCAAGAATGAAGAAATAAGCTACACGTGGTATGCTGTCTCCCTTGTACATAGCATAATCATGTTTGTGATCTCAGATCAATGTATTCTTTACTATTTTATAATTTACTTTCTCCAAGAAAGACTATTTGTCAGCTGTTAATTGTTCTAATAAGGTGCATGTTCCCTAATGCTTTTGGTAAAAATTTTAATGTTATTTATGTGTATATGTATGTCTCTCTCTCCCTGTCTCTGTCTCTCTTTCTCTCTATGTCTCCTTGTGTCTCTGTCTCTGTCTCTGTGTGTGTGTGTGTGTGTGTGTGTGTGTGTGTGTGTGTGTGTGCTGATGCTTTTGGAGGCCAGAAGAATGCATCAGAGCACCTTGAGGTTGTGAACTGCTCGATGCTGGGAACTGAACACTGAACTCGGGTCATCTCCAAGGGCAGAAAACACTCTTAACCACTGAACCACCTTTTCAGGCTCTCACAATCCTTTCTGTTTTTAAGAAATACTGACAAGGGTATAACTGCCTCTAAAGAGAGTGAAGTGAAATATAAAACATCTCAAATTGAATTTTGAATATCAGGCATCTACAGAATATTCCATCCAAGCACCAAGAATATGCTTTCTACTCAGCAGCCCATGCAAGTTTCTCTAAAGTTGGCTACAAACTGAAGCACAAAACAAACCTCAACAAATACAAAAAACTGAAATAATTCCATGCATTTTATCAGATCACAATGCAATAAAGATTGTAATCAACAACAAAAGAAGCTATATCAACTACATAAACTCACGGGGATTAAACAACACACTCTTGAATGACGAATGGCTTAACAAAGAAATTAAGCTAGAAGTTAAAGTATTCTTGGAACTAAATGAAAAGGACAATACAGCACAACACAACCTCTGGGACACTTTAAAAGCAGCCCTATGAGGGAAGTTTACAGCTTTAGGTGCCTACATTAAAAAAATTTAGAAACAGCACATATAAATTACATAACAATACAACTCAAGACTCTGGAAAAGCAAGAACAAACCAAACCCAAACCTAGTAGATGAGAAGAAATAACAAAAACCAAAGTACAAATTGAAATAGAAACAAAGAAAATAAAAGAATCGATGAATCTAAGAGCTGGTTCTTTGAAAAGTTAAGTAAGGCAGACAGAATCTTAGCTGAGTTAACTGAAATAACAAAACATTTCCAAATTAGCAAAATGAAATGAAAGGGGAAAAATTACAGCAGCACCAAGGAATCCAGAACATTTTATTTTATTATGTTTTATTTTAAATATTTATTATTTATTATTTTTATTTTATGTGTATGCGTGTATTGCCTGCATGTAGGTAAGTACACCTGTGTCGTGCAATGCCGTGGAGGACAGAAGAGGCTGTTGGATCCCCTGGAACTAGAGTTACGGACAGTTGTTAGCTGCCACGTGGGTGCTGAGATTTGAACTTGGGTCTTCTGCAAGTACAACCAGTGTTCTTTTTAAAAATATATTTGAAATTTTTTTTTTATCATTTTCATTCTATGTGTACGAGTGCATTGCCTGCATGTATGTAAGTGCACCCATGTCGTGCAATGCTGGGGAGGTCAGAAGAAAGTTTTGGATTCTCCTGGAACTGGAGTCAAGGATGGTTTGTAGCCACCATGTGTGTGCTGGGAATCGAACCCAGGTCCTCTGCAAGAGCAGTCAGTGCTCTTAACCTCTGGCCCCAAAATCCAGAACATTTTAAGGGAATATTTAAAAATGTATACTCTATTAAATTTGAAAGCCTAAAAGAAATGGATGAATGTCTAAATTCTTGGAAACCACCAAAGCTAAACCAATAAAAGATCAACAGCTTAAACAGACCCATAACAAATAAGGAAATCAAGACAGTAATACAGACCCTCCCAACTACAAAAAGCCCAGGTCCAGGGGCATTCACAGCAGAATTCTACCAGACAGTCAAAGATCTCTAACCAATACTTAAATTTTTCAAAACTAGAAATAGAGCAAGAACTTCCAAACTCTTTCTATGAAGCCAGTATACTCTAATACCCGAGCCAGGTAAAGACCCAACAAAAACAGAAAACTCAAGGCCCATATCCTTAATGAACATAGACACAAAGATTCTCAACAGAGTGCTCACAAAACACATACAGGTGCACATTAAAAAGATCATCCACCATGATCACGTTGTCAGCTTTACTCCAGAGATGCAGGGATGGCTCAACACAAATGTCAATAAATATAATAAATCACAGATATGGACTCAAAGACAAAAAACACCTCGTCATTTCAATAGATGCAGAAAAGGCCACTGGCAAATCCAACATGAATTTATGTTAAACGTCCTAGAGGGAATTGGACTGGATGGAATATACCTCAATATAATTATAGCTATATTCAAAAATCCAAAGT